CCCCGTCCTCGCCTCTGTTCTCTGTTCCATCTGCCCAGAGGGCTCCCTTCACACGCCTCCCTGCCCCTGAACTCTACCCAAACTTTACAGTTTGCCTCAAGACACCTCCCCAGGGAGCCTCTCCATGTCCACCAGGCAGAACATACTCCTGGTTTCTCTGGTCCTCCTCCAAAGCTTGGCCTTACACCTGCGGCAGCTGGTCAGACTGTCCGTCTTGGCCTGAGCAAGCCTGGAAGCCACCACAAGACATGGTTTACACCAGATTCACTTCTGGCCCCTTTCCTCTCCCTGCCACAGCCAGGCGTCTACATACAGAATTATCACACAGGAGAACAAATCCGTAACGCCCACCGAGAGGAGCTCCGAGTCTCTCCAGCAGCCGCCCAGGAAAGCCAGACACCTCCACACAGATGTGTCTATGCAGCCAATGTCCTGAGTCTTCCACGTAGCACACTGAGTGGACAAGACGGTCACCATCCAAGAAAGCCTGCGGGACCTGCCTGGTGATTCCGTCACGCCCACCATGCAGCGCGCGGCCGAGAAGGGAAGACAAGACACTTAGGGAAATGTCAAAGGAGGTCTGGCCCAACTGGGGTCACCAAGGCTTCCCAGAGCCGAAGACACCTGAGGTGAGACAAGGATGAAGATGCTGTGGCCACAGAAGATAGGGGACGTGTCCGCGCCACCACCTCGGAGAAGCAGGGAGCGAAGACGGGAGGCAGGACACACATCCCATCTCCATTCCCTGCCTCAGTTCCCACCACGGCACCACAGACTGTTGTGAGGATTGGGGGGTAACGGCTGGAAGGCACTCGGCATACAGCCCAGCGCTCCCCAGACGTGGGGGATTACAGCTCACGGGAGGCAGCCAGATACTCCTGCCACACGACTACCCCGCTGGAGCCACCCGCTGCGTCTCCCCACAGGGCAGAAGGAAGGACCAGGGCAGCCTGAGGGACTGTGACAGAGCGGAGTCAGGAGGCCATGTGGCCCGGTGGTGTGAGGAGGAAGGAAACTGAGCACAGAAGGAAGACAGTGTGGCCGAGAACAGGCGGGGACAGGGGAAGGGGCCAGCGAGTGAGGAACTCGGCCTCCCCGGAGCTGCCCCAGAGAGCTCATGGCGGACTGTCCAGTGGTGCCTGCAGCAGGGCTTGACATTTACAGGCCACAGGGCTCCACCGTGCCAGCTGGGTCTTTAAAAAGTCTGTCTGAAAGCCACCCTATTAGGGAAGGAGCCAACGACGAACCGGAAACCCCTGAGGTGTGCAAATAACCACGTCACTTCTCAGCAGGAAGGAGTCAGGGTGGAGCAAGCTGAGATTAAGGCCTGACCTTAGTGCCCAGCCATCAAGGGGAAGCCACGCAGCAGTGTGGGAGGAAGTGAAGGCCACCAGGGAGCGTAAGTCTTTCTGACCGCCCTGGCCTTCCTGCTGGCGCTGTTTTCAGGCCACAGAGTACTGGTTCCATCCCACCGTTCAGGGCTCATCTCCAGGACCTCCTCCTCCTTGAGGCCTCCACACCCACCCTGACTAGCTCTCTCTCCACACCTGCCGTGCTCCTCTCCCAGATGCTCACACTGCGCGACTGTGCCATGCTCTGCTGACAAGGCCTACCCCAAACACCCTATTAAAACCGTCTCTCTGCCCCCCAGCTCTCATGTTCCCTCGCTGCTCTCTCCCCCTGCCTTTCATCCTAGGTATTTGTTTGTTTACTATCTTCTTCCTCCTGCTAGAACGTCAGCTACAAAAAAATTCAAAGGTCCCAAAGATACCAATATCAGATTTGCTCACTGCTGAATCACCACCTAGAAAATCAGCATCTAGAAAAGTACCTGCCGCATCACAGAGCTCCAGAAATGCCTGATGAGCGAATGAGTGAGCGCATGTGCGGGCCCTGGTCAGACTGTCTCGGGTCTCACTCCAGCTCTTCCACTGTGTGGCCTTGGATGACTTTACTTAACCTCACTGAGATTCAATTTAATTCAACAGTAAAAGAAAATAGCACTCCCCTTCCAAGGTGATCAAGGGATTAAGTGAGACCATGCAGCTAATGAGGCTCATGCCTGCCCCCAGTAAGCACTCAGGACTACTCTGGCTGCCACCACAGCCTGGCTTGTTAGCATTTCCTGCTTGTTTATCATCTGCCTCCTTCTCCCTAGCGTCAGCGCCTCACGCTCAGTCTTAGCGCAGAGTGGGGACAGGATGTTGAGTCAGGCATGTGGAGCAGGAGCCTCACCAATCTGTTTCTCCAGGGCGGCTGCCTCGCAGACAGTGGCCCGGGGCAGGATTCCAGGGTCGGTGAAGCTTGTCTGCAGCAGGCAGCTCATGACGAAGAAGAAGAGGATGGCGGCGATGACGGGGATGGCAAGGGTCAGGTGGCGGGCCAGGAAGGGGCAGCTACAAAGAGAGAGGGAGAGAGATGAGCAGCTGTCCTGGGGCTCCCGGGACACAAGCCTACGGCACTAGGTGGAGGGCTTAGCCCAGCGGCCACCACCAGGCCCTGAGCAGACACCCCGAGCTGATCCCTGCACTTCGCCCCTGGGTCCCCGGCAGATGCGACCAGTTGAGACCAGCACTCCTAACCCCTACACTGAGTTTACAGCCTAGGAACCCTCCTAAAGACAGCGTTTCAGGCAGCTTAGTGGACTGGACTGAACCACTCACGGCAATGTTCACTCAGTCACTCAATCACGTCTCCACAGTTTTTGAGGTCTGGGCCAGGCACTGCCCTCAACAGGCAACAGGAACAGCAGTGAGTAAGACTAGCGTTTCTTGCTCCCTCGGTGTGGCTCATGGTCTAGTGGGGGAAACAGATGTAAACAGAGAATTGCCACACAGCCTGAGTGCTCTGGTTGGGGAGGGAGGAGCAGAACGGGCAGGAAAGGCTTGCTGAAGGGCGTCCTGGGTCGGCCCAGCCGGGCGGAGAGCAGTGCGGGAAGGAGGGTGGAGGTCCAGCCCCTGCTGTGGTCACCCAACCGCTGGCGCCGCCTGGCCCTGGCCGGCTCAGAGCCCAGCTCACAGGCCTGACTGTGCGGCCCACCGGGCTGCTGACCGTCCTCCCACGCTGCTTCCCTCCTGGAGCCAGAGTGGCACCTAAGAGGGCCAGGAGCAGCCAGGAGGGAGGGGACTGGTCACTGGGAGCCCTGAGTGGCGTGAGGCGCCAGGAAGGGCGCTCGGAGGTTGTCTCAGGAGCCTCCATCATCGGGGGTTCTGACCTCATACGTGCCCTTCCTTAGAGGAACAGGAGCCAAGGCCGAGCACCCCCAGTGGGCCGTGCTCTGCTCCGCACATCTCAGTGCTCCCGGGTCTGAGCCCCACACAGGCCCTCCGCATCACCCACAAGGCAACGTCGTCCACCCACGTACAGACTTCTTGGGGGATGAAGAAAACTTGAAACCGGAGACATATGGCGTCCTCTGAAGCACCAAGTCCTAGCCCCGACTTCACGGAGGGCGACGCCAAGGCCCACAGGCAGATCCAAGCCACTGACAGGACTGAGAGTAGACAGGTTTCCAGCCAACACTGTCCATTCATTCAACAAATATTTACTGTACTGAGCACCGTCAACACACCAGGCCCTGTTTGAGGTACTGAGCATACAGCAGACAGCAAGGAGAATAAAGGCCTGATCTCATGGAGAAAGTAGGCAAGAGGCCAAGAAGAGTACAAGTGTATACTCGGTGAGGCAGTGGCACGAGCTCAAAGGATGCTAAGTCAGGGCAGAGGGGTCAGGAGGGAGCTAAGGGGCTCGCGGGTGACAGGGCTGGGCGGGAGTTGGAGAGAGCGAGCCCATCCCAAGGAAGGACTCAGCCGCCCAGGGCCCCGCGGCAGGGAGTGCCAGGAGGCCAAAGCCCAGAGGGGAACACGCTGGGGGTGGTGGGGGGATCGTGGGAGGGAGGCGGTGGGAACAGGAGGACGCTCTTTATCAGGGTCTGGCTCTTTGGGGCACACCCAGACTTGACCTGACCTACAGGGGCGCTCTGGCTGCTGTGTGGAGGTGGTGAGTGGAGCTGCGGCTGGAAGCCTTTCGCAGAACCCCACCAAACCAAACAATGAAACAGGGGCCTTGACAGCAGCAAACGCCCTGGAGAGCCACCCTTCCCCTCCCCCGTAACAGGGAGTATGAGCGCCGCGCGCACACACAGCCGGCACACGGTCAGCGGTCACCAGAGTCCACATCCAGGCGAGCTCAACCCGAACCCAAACCCTCCTGCCAACTGCACCACTGCAGAAGGAGCTGAGGCTAAGGCAGGATGACCCACAAGTGCACCCCACATCTAGAAACCCTCGCTTCCCACCCCCTCCAGGCACAAATCTGTCACCCGTGAGGATGACCACTCGGACCAGAGGTGGTCCTGCTTCTGACTGACCGACTCGCACAGGCAGGGTCACAGGAGGCCACGCAGGCAGCACCGTTTCCTCTTGCCTGGGCTGCCGGCTTGGCTGCGAGGCCCTGCCCCGAGCAGTGAATGAGGCTGAGGCGCTTTCGAATACCCACGGGGGCGGGCCCAGAGAGGTGGATCTGAAACTCAGCCAGGGCACTGCTGGGCCCAGCGGGCTCCCCAGAACTTCTGCTTATCAAATGATCACACAGCTTTTTATCTATCTTGACTCAAGAAGGAAGGGCAAGAGAGAGGAGCTAGCTTGTAGGATCCTCCCTGGATTCAAGGGGAAACCCAGGCTGCTGGTCACGGTCTGGCAGCTGGAAAGGGCCCTTGGGGGCAGGTGCTTCTGCGCCAGCCTTACCGTGGCCACGGCACCTTGGGAAGTGCCTCCTGGGGCAGACGAGCAACGGCCCATGCTGCAGGCTGCCGCTGGCTCGAAGCGGACAGCATGAACTCGTGCCACCCTCACAACACCCCAGGGCCTGGGTGCCGTGATGAGCCCATCCCAAAGAGGGGGCAGTGGGAGCTCCAGGAGGTAACGTGACCGGCCCAGGGGTGGTACAGCTGGGATGGGAGCCACGTCCGTGGGCGCCAGAAATGGAGTTCTCGCCATACAGTAACATTTAGGGAGACAGGCGAGGATGGGAACTTGGGGGGCTGGGGGCGTGCAGTTTGAAGTGGGCGTGGAACCTGCACGTGTGCGTGCACATGAGCAAGCACTAGCGGGCGGCTCGAGCCGGGGCCCAGGGCACGGTGGAAAACTTCCGACACAAACCCGTGGCCCTGGTGAGGTGACAGGCATGGCTGGGCCTCCTGCACCCTTAAAATGGAGATGCCATGGGAGGCACTCCTGGGCCACGGAGGACATGAAGCCGTAAGAAGCCCACGGGGCAAACATGACCTGCCGCAGGAAGGCCCTCTGGGCTTGCCTGAAAATCAGCGAGGCACTGAACAGGCTTCAGCCACACAGCAGGGCCGCACTGCCCCGGGCAGCAGGTGGAGGGCTGCACTGCTGGGAGGAAGAGGAAGCCTGCAGGTCCAGTGTTTGAGGGAGATTGCCCAAAGGCCCAGGAGATAACGCCTGGGGGAGAAGGAAAGCGGGAAGGAAAGGGGAGTGTCAGAGAGAGAGATGGCCAAGGGGGCCTGCAGGACCCTGGAGGAGAGGGGAAGCCGGCCAGGTGACCTGCAGTGGGGAGCGCATAGCTAAAGAACACAGAAGAAATTCAGGAGTTGTGCGGAAAGGACATAAAGTAGGCTCAAGGGTGACAAAGAACCTGGGAGTGGGCAAGAGATGGTGATGGGGAATAGGCGCGGGTAAGGAGATGGGTCGGGGCGCAGGGGAGCCGGGCAGGTTCTGGGAGGGCGGGGTAATGGAGGGAGAGGGCGGCGCTCCGAGTGAGCAGAGGCTGGCAAAGGCAGGGTGCCAGGAAGGACCCGGGAGGATGGAGTGGCCAGGAGGGGGGGACGAGAGGCGATGGATGAGAGATGCCAGGAGACTGGCGAGGCCTGGGGCATACGCGTTCGGAGGCACAGGAGGGCGCGCGGGTCCAGAACAGCCGCGAGAGGAGGGCGCCTGGCAGGTGCCGGGAAGGGTGGAGGGGAGGGGGCAGGGAGGCGGCCGCGGGCCGGTGCCCGCAGGGGCCCGAAGGCGATGGGGTGCAGACGGGGGGCAGAGGGGGCTGGGGCGCCAGGGGGCGGGACGGGGTCGCCGCGGAACTCACTCGAAGACGAAGAAGAGGACCGTGGTGGTGAGGATGAGCAGCAGCGTGAGCGCGAAGACGCCGCCGTGGCCGGCCAGCATGAGGCGGCCGCCGCAGTAGAAGCGGTTGCGGCCCGGGAA